CTCATCTAGTCGCGCGTGGCTCGACGCTCGAGATACCAGTATTACATACCAACGTTTAATATACCTGAAGCGGCGACGCCGACATTGCCTGCGTGCGGACGACGTGCGTACACCAAGACGTAGAAGGCCGCTTGGAGGAGCGGGTTTGTGAAAAGCTCGGGCGGGAGTGAGCCGCCGACCCAACCGCGACGACCAAGAAGGTCGAGAACGACAAGGAAGAGCTCGAGGCGCTACGGCAGCGCTTGTTGCGCAAGAGCATGCTCGCGGTCACGCCTGCGTGGATCGAGTACGAGGAAGCGATCCCAGGTGACGGTCAACCTCTCGCCGACATTGCCATGCAGCAGCTCAGCGCTGTTGCGCACTTGGCTAGCTCTCGACGCTCGTACAGGCTCGCCAAGCGGGCCGAGAAATGCAATATACAAAGCGCCATGTGACGACGAAGGCGTGGACGCCTTTTACTTCCTACCTTCCAAGGCGACCTTGGTTGCGTCCACGCCGATACTCGGTGATTTTTGTCGCTCGCTTTGAATGTGGCGCCGAGAGCGAGTCGCATCGCGCCGCTTTCGGCGTTGGCCAACGGCACGCAGCAGTTTCTCGACACGATTTGGTCGACGCTTATGGCCAAGTGCGATGCGTTTGGCGCACCCGTCGTGCACCGCCACAACGACGCCACGGTCGCCGCTTCTGATCTTCCTCACGTCAAGTGCAGGCGCAATCGCGGTTGCGTTCAAGACTGCCAGTGGTACGTCGAAGGACATCAAGCGCGACCTCTTGGCGCACGGTGTCGAGTTTATTCTGCGTTCGATCTTCGTCAACGACCCCGGCGCCATGGGTTTGTGTGCGCTAAATCTGCTAGGCTCGGGCTTGACGAGGCCGTTCCCAACCTCACGGCGTCCCTCTAGGACCCGCACCCGCGCATGAAGGAGGCTGACTACGCTGCTCCCATTGATATTGCGTGGCCCCAAGATTGTCTCGATTTTGCCTCTACCTTTCTCGCCTGTGTGCATGACCCGTGTCGCCAGACGACGAATGCGATTGCACTCGCCTGTAGACGCCACTTCTCGACCCGATTTTCGAGGGCCGCACGATCGCGTCTAAGCGCGTGGTATGTTCGTCAAGGGTCAGAGCCACATTTCGCACCTCGTGCCATGGCTGCAGCAAGCCACCAAGTCGCTGTCAGTCGAGCGGTTGAGTTTTGCCCAGGGTCTCTACGAGGAGCTTGTGCACCTTGGCCCGGACGTGCTTGTCCACAGTCTGCGTGACGATATCATTCAGATCACGCGCCACCCCAAGGACGCAATCCGCCAATGCGTTCTCTGGGTGATTACGTTCCTCCCGCCGGCACTCGACAACAGCTTCTTCCTAGACTTGTCCTTGGCCACTGAAATGGTCCCAGCGTTCTGGCTCCGCGCATAGAGCGTGGTATCGAAAATGCCATTTTATTCAAATCAATTCGTTGAAAAATCACCCAGTGCCCAACGATGCCGCAAATCAGCACGGTCCATCTCTCTCCATCACTAGCGACTTGTAGTGGGCCGTTGAAAATAATCCCAGCATTCTCCAACAATTTTCTGCATTTTGGCCATGCACCGCTACGGCGGGCGTGAGGTTTGTCGATCCCAAATCGAAACTTTTGCAACCTTCTCCAATCGCTGTGATACTTTCAGGGACGCTTTCTCTAGCTCGAGAGAGGCTGTATGCGGACGCACGTGGCTATCAAAGGCCTGCAAGTATTTGTTTTGAAACTCGCCAAC